CAGAGAAACTCTGTCTCAAAAAACCAGAAAAAGAAGAAAGAAAGAAAAAAGAAAGAAAACTCACTGCAGCACAGCAAGAGAAAGCTGTGTGGATCAGAAAGTACCCCCTCTTCCCCCATTGAGAAAGAAGAGAGGTAGCAAGCGATGGAAAAGGGGAGAACTAGCCACCTCTGTCTGCTTACCTGTGTGTTGTTTCCTAGTCCCCAAAACTGAAATGGTTTATTAATGAAAATACAGTTCTTAGTATAAATATATAAGGCACAGTTAAACCTGGAAGAGATAGCATATCTGATGTCTCAGGACAGATAGTTGCTTTGCCTCAGTATACTCCTGAGCTGTCCTTCCAGCCTGAGTTTAATTTCCATCCAGCCTTACTGGGGGAAAGCTGGCAATCTGCTTTGTTGTTTTGTTTTTCTAGTCTAGTGTCACTTCTCAAAAATTAATGGATCACAGATGTTTTGGGTTTATCTTTAAATACTCATATATATTTACTTGTTATATTTGGTTTTTTGAGAAAAGGTCTGACTATATATCCTTGGCTGCCCTAGGACTTTCCACTTAGACCAGGCTGGCCTCAAACTCCTGGTGAGTTCCGGTTCTGCCCTCTGAGTCCTGGGATTGCAGGCATGTGCCACCACACCCACTCTGAGTTCTTGTGCTCCCCCTTACCTGCTGCTTTGAATGCTGTACCATTGTAAGTTTGGGAGTAGAAAGTGTTAGCCTTCCAGTTTCTTTTCCAGATGTTGTGGTGCTCCAGGCTCCTTCCATTTCCATATGAGGCTTAAGTTCATCTGTTCATTTCTGTAAACAACAACAACAAAACAGTACTTCAAATTTTGGTAGAGATGACTTTTCTTTGGTATCTTAACTTTTTAAATCCTTCTAAATTTTTTTCCTTTTTGGGTCTTGGCTTTATGCTGGCTCATCCTGCTTTGAGAGTCTTTGCTAGCCTTCCTGTGACTTTCCGTCACAGATCCCTATCGACTTTGGTAGGATGAGAGGACTGAGGATGAGGCAGAGTCTACCTGATACCCACCGTTCTCTAGTGCAGCTGCCCCTTAGACTGCCAGGATGCTGATACCCATACAGGGCTCTTCGGTCTCAGATTAACTGCTCATTTTGTTCCTACCTGGGGAGCACATTCTTGGTCATTGCCACCATTCCTATCTGGGAGCAAATACATCTTCTTAAAAGAGAGAAATAGGTGGTGGTGGTGGGGTTGATCTGTAATTCAACTTCTGTGCATCACCAATCAGCTATGTGGTCCGTTTTACAGACTGTGTCATCTCTTTCTGCTGTTTCCCTCTGCAGCCTTAGTTCTCAGGTTTAAACCAATAAAGTCACCACTCATCCATTCCTTTTCTTGGTTCTGTGGGACTGATTTCTTAGTCTGTTCCATCAGCTTTTTCTTTTTTCTTTTCGTCTCTCACTGATTCCTCATAGTTTTAGTCTATTAGGGCATTTCCCCCTTTCTATTACAGATTTTTGTTTTGTTTTTCAAGTCAGGGTTTCTCCATGCAACTCTGGCTGTCCTGGAACTCTCTCTCTGGAGACCAGGCTGGCCTCAAATTCACAGAGATCCGCCTGCCTCTGCCTCCCAAGTGCTGGGATTAAAGGCGTGGGCCACCACATCTGGCTTCTGTTGTAGATTTATTAAAAGATGACGTATTTATGATTTGGGGAGAAGGTGAGTTAGCTTGTGTATTTCTAAGCCTTTATTTTTAGTCAGTGTCTATGGTGAAGTAAATTTTGTAAAAAAAGAAATTAAGCTAGCAGGTAAAATATTGATTAGATCATTGTGGACAAAATGTTTTTCTTTGTGCAGATTCCTTTTAAAATATGCACTAATGGAGATCTGTAGTTTGTTTAATTTTCATCACAAGACCTTAATGTTTGTGTAAATTTTAATGATTGAAAGTTTAGGTCAGGAATACATGACTATGAAATTTAAAAGGTACATGATTCTTTAAGAATACAAAAGTGCATGTGCATGTCACTGTTATGTTGTTAGTGTAATTAATGCTCCCGGGCCTTCCTCTCCTTCTCCTCCTTTATTCCCTATTTCTCCCCTCTCTCTGCTCTTTGGGTGGCTAAGAGCACATGGGTCCTGAATTCAGCACCTACTTTGGTTGAATAACTTCCATGGAACTAGCATTAGCTTCTTCCGAGACAGAAATATGTTGGTTGCTGTGAGAGAAACATGCCAAAGATGTTTAACAGAAGTTCTAATAAAACAAAATGGGATGGGGCTTAGGATTGAGCCCAGGGTCTTGTGCATACTTGTCAAGGGTGCTCTATACTGAGCTACACACCCTGCCCTCCAAAACATCTTTGGTTACAGCTTTGAGTCACTAATTTCTAGTGTTATTCCAATATTAGTCTAAAGTAGTTTTATGTTTCACATGGCAGCCAGGTGTGGTGGAGCACACCTTTAGTCCAAGTAAGGAAAAGGCAGGCGGATCTCTGTAAGTTTAAGGCCAGCTTGTTCTACATAGTGAGTTCCAAGCCAGCCAAGACTACACAGTGAGACCCTGTTTCAAAAAACCAAAAAAATTTTTCATATGACTATATTATTTTGCATAAATAATATGCCATATAATTTTTGGTTAATATAGAAGAAATAATTACCCCAACCCCCATCATAACTACACTGTTAACAGTTTGGTGTGTTTCTTTCCAATATTTTTAAAATTTTATTTTCAAAAAATTAAAGTAATACAGCATTTTTTTTCCAGTCCAAAAGTTATGTGTACTCGATGAGAATACTTGGAAAATAAAGACGAGCACAAAGGGAAAAAAACACTCATAAAATCCATCCAAAGACAATCACAATCAATTTTGCTGTTTATCTTTTTTATATTTTTCATGAACATGTAATTTTTTTAATACAATTATATACTATAATACTACTTTGTAACTGGATCGTTTGCAATATATTGTGAATGTTTGCTAATGTTAAAAACTCATATAAACTTTTAAGTAGTATGTAGCATATGAACATAATTAAGTATGTTTAACTAACATACTTAACCATCTCCCTATTGTTGGACATTGAAAGTGTTTCTATTTTTTACCATTATAAATATTACCATAGTTAATATCTTTGTCCATACATCTTTCCATGCATCTATGATTGTTTCTTTAGGAATAGATTCCTAGAAGTGGAATAGCTGGGTCAAAGGGTATGTACACTCTAACGCTTTTGATACATGAAAATGTCAAGTTTAAGCTAACCACTTGTTATATTCTGTCTTGTATTGCTATTTGATTGTTTAGTGTTTCTGTCTTGCCTTTCTGATTGGAATGCAAGTGAGAACAAGGGAAGTCTCTTGCATATATTAGTAACCTTTGCATATGTCAGTATGGCTTCCTGTGTTGGATTCATAATAATTCAGAGCAGTGGTTCTCCAGGGTTTTGGATGTCATAGTCTGTACATTTAAAAATATATGTATGTGTGTGTGTGTATATATGTATATATATATATATATATGTACATATATATATATATATTAGAGTAAATTTAGGTTTGCAAATTTTCTATTTTTCTAGGCAAAGACATTTAGAAATAAAACCAAATAAAATTTTCTATCCCATCTTCTTAGGAAATAAAGAGCATTTAACAATACAAAAAGATAGACCTTTTGAAGAGAAAATTTTAGCTTCTTGTCCTTATTTTTACCATTTTATATCGGGCTAGGAATTTTCACCTTAACCGAGAAGTGAACTAGAGACCAACTTTGGGAACCACAGACTTAAAAGAGTTTAGAGCATTACAAATAGGAACCCTTTGCAACAGTATAAATTCCCCATGTCTCTCTTCACAGTATTGTGATGGTCATGTTACTGCTTTAAACAGAATTTGTGTTTCTCCGTGTCAATGTTTGAATAAACAAGCAGACCTGCTGATGAGCATCTGACTGTATTTCCAATCTCTTAAAACAATGTCAATTTTCTTTCTAGGGAATTGGAGCCAGGGTAGGTGTGATGTAGTGGAAAGAAGGGATGTTAGGTCATCAGTCAGTTTCCCTTCTGTGTCCTTCCTAACATGGTGACTATGATTCGATCTGTGATGGGTTTTGTAGCCCTTGTTATACTTACCTCTCTGTAATGTGATTATTTGTTTATACAAATCTTTTGCTTACCTGCGCATGAGTTCTTACAGGTAGGATGAGTCATTCCCTTCTTTTGCAGCTCTAGGTCCTAACACAGGGATCCAGGCATAGCAGGTGCTAATAACATGAGTGCTGAGCCACTTCTGGATGGTTGAGGGGATTGTGTACTATAATGGATGTGGAAGTGCTTCATAAACTTGTGTGATGCAAACAATGGTAATTTTTGTTTTTGACAAGAGTGATTTTAATGGCGAGTCCCAAAACTTTGGAAAGAGAAAAAATTGTTCTTTTGAACAGTTCTATAAGTGAATTACATTTTTCTGCTATTTGTAAGAAAACAAGTTTTAATTGGGGTCAGAGTGGAGCTAATTTGCTTCCTAGGAAAGCAAAGGACTCCTCCTCCCTATGCTACATGGAGGGGCCCAGATAGCAAACGTTTGTTTGACTTGATTATCATCTAATTTTAACTTTAATAAGACAAGTGGCTTTCTTATTATTAAAGCCAGTGTCCATTGCTTCATAACTAGTAAAAAAGGGCACCAAGCCTTTAGCAGAGGAGCCCGTGTTGTGCCTGATGCTTTTGGGTAGAGCTCCTTTTGGCTTCATTGGCTTTAAAAGACTGTTCTTTCTAATTGCTTCTAAAATTCCTGCTAAGTTTTTGCCACAAGATGGCATTGGTGATTACTTGAGTGTATATGCTATTGAAGCAGCTCAAAAAAGGTGCACATGATTGCATTGTTTGGGGGATAAGAGTTGAAGACTTTCATCACTGCTTATGTATTATTTCATTTTAACTTCCAGAGTTAAATGATACTTTATATCACTTTCCTTCTGTATTCAAGTATTGTTTTGTTTCCTGTTTTTCTGTCTTTATAATACAGTAACTATGTATTATTTGCCATGTGTTGTATGTGTCTGACTTACTGCTGATAATTGTGGTGACAGGTAAGAAGAAAATACGATGGGACCCAGTTAGGAGACGCTTCATTCAGTCCTGTCCCATCATAAGGATCCCTAACAGGTTCTTGAGAGGTGGGTGATAACTAGCAAGAGGTCTGTGCTTCCTGTGGGTTAAAGGGAATTTTGAATGGATTTTCTAAATTCAAAACTGTTTTCTTTAAGTTGTCTAACAGCCAACATTGAAGTAAAAGACTATAGGTCTCAGTTTTAAATTTGTTTTATATTGACCACTGTTGGAATTGTAATGACAAGTTTGGGGGAAGTTAGACTCTCTTAATGTATCCAAGATAGTAGATTACCTCACCAGTACCAGTGGCAGTCCATGTAACATTCAAGTATAGGATGTGATTCTAAGGAAGAAATAAAAGACGATGTGATATCTAAACTAAAAAAACCCTCTGTATTAAAACTGTAAATAAAAAGCCATGGAAAACATTTGTAACAGGTTATTAATATGAATATACAGAGCTCCTAGAAACTAGTCATCTATACCTACTGGAAAAATCAGGAGATGGATATGAATAGTCAATACATAGAGAAATGCCAGCTGAGGAGCACAAAGTGACTCGGGGGTACAAGTGCTGGCTGCCAAGCCTGGTGGCCTGAGTTTGATCTCTGGACCCCACATGGTAGAAACAAAGAAATTACTCCCATAAGTTGCCCTCTGACTTCCACACATGTTCTGTGACACAACACATGCAATTTATGAATAAATAATACATACATGTAATAAATGTTAAAAATAAATGCCTGTAAATATAAACCTCACTTAATTCACTACTGTGAAATAAATATAATAATTAATATTTTACTTATTAGGTGGGAAGATTAAAATAAAACTACATATGTTGGCAAGGGTATGGGAAAAAAGCTTAAATGCTGAGGTTTTATGCAGACCCTTTGGACTTTACTCTGGAAATGATATCAGTTTGAAAGTTGCTGCTGCTTTTGACTGGCAGCTCTTCTAGGAAGGCCTTATTGTTTCTGCTCACAACTTTTCTATCAGCTGTAGATTTTACTGAGTGAAAAGTTGCTCAGAAGAGGATTGAAAACTCTAGCTCACTTATTTATTTATTTATTTATTTATTTGCTATAGCAAATTATCAGACAAGCCCACTTGATGTTGCAATTTAGACCTTATTAAATTACTCACAAGTCATTTCATCTAATTTTAATGGAAGAAATTCAATTAAAAACCTAAGCTGGGTGTAGCTGCAGTACACCTTTAAGGCAGGCAGATCAGTGAGTTCCAAGCCAGCTTGGTCTACATACCAAATTTCAAACCAGCCAGAGTTAAACAAAAAGTTAATACCTAAGGAAAAATTCTATAGCCAAAACCTGAAAAACTAAACATGAAAAAGCTAAAACCAGGCCTAAATGGATCAAGATAAGATAATCAGTGATAGTGAGCCACGTTTTACCATCCCAAAAGAAAAATAATTAGGATATAGAGTTCAATGAAAACAAATTGTGTGAGGCTGGAGAGATGACTCAGAGGATGAGATCACTTGTGCCTTGCAGAAGACTCCATCAGTTGCCAGCACTCTCATGGCGGCTCACAAGCATTTATACTAGTTCCAGAGGATCTCATGCTCTCCTTTGGCTTCTGCCAGCATTAGGTACGCAAGTGGTGCACATACTTGCAGGCAAACACTCAAACACATTTAAAAGAAAAATCTGTAAGAATTGTGTAAAATCCTATAAAAATATAAAATGACAAAAATAATAAAAACAAAACAAGAAAAAAACCTTGGTTATATTTGCATGGTGAGTTTTTTGGTTTTTGCATAGTCTCCATTTAAAAAAAGTTAACCATGGAGAAAAATTCTGCACAGGTAAGTTTATACCATTGGACATTTGTAAGTCCTAAATTCAAAATGGCTGATAAAATTGGTGATAGATACTTCTGAGATGAGTGAGGTGGGAGCAGGCTTAGCGTTAGGGGTATAAAGATCACCACAAACCTTGTCTGTCTTCTCATCTCTGACCAGTTTGAGTGTTCAATGCTGTTGGCCACCTGCATTTTCTCTTGGGGCCACACACTGCATAATCCTAGATGTTTTCTTCTTCCTCTTTGTCCATTTTGTCCCCTTCCCTAGTTTCTTATTCCCATCCATTAACAGTGGGAATTCAGTGTTCTGTCCTTTCTCCATGATCTCTGATTGTCCCATCAGCTTTCGTAGGTTTAACTCTATTCATCATTCATTCCTTCATTGGGTATTTCTGGATTGCTTCCTATGTGGCAGTTACTGTACTTGCTAAATTGATGATGAAGATCTTACTTAGAGAACTAAGTAAACAGACAATCACAGAGTAATTGGTCTGAAATTATTTGTGACCAACAATTGTCCTGATAAGGTGGTAAGGCATGTTGCACACCAAAGAGGTTTCTAAGAGGATGACAGGATAGTGTCGCTTGATATTTTTTTTTTTTAAAGAAAAGTTGCTTAAATCTGAGTGGGTTTTTGAAAGGGAAGGGTAGAACTGCAGACCACAGGTGCCAGGTAGCTTGAATATGTTGTTTATGCAGACCCAGGCACACATGGTGCTTTCAAAGGTTTACAGAAAGTTTAGCATAGTGGCAGGTAGAAGCTGGAAAGGGCCAGCTAGAAGGAGCACCACTGAAGAATTTTCAGGATCAGACTTGGTTTTGTGGCTAGTAAAGATGTACTGATTACACTTACCAAGGTAAGGAAAGCTGCTTTAAATGAATGTGGCTGTAATAGACTTTGGGGGATGGGTAGGTAATTCCAATTGTATATATGCTAAATTGGATGAGACTTGATCATTAATTGACAAATAGGAGGGAAAAAAAAGCAGTGACTTCCAGGAGCTGGAGAGATGGCTCAGTGGTTAAGATGGCTCACTTGGGCTGCTCTTGCAGAAGACACCCTATTTTTGGCCTCTTCAGGCACTGGGCACATACATGCATAGTGAAGGCAGAATGCTCATACACATAGAATAAAAATAAATCTTTTTTAAAAGAAAGCTTCCAGATTTTCCATGTGACTTGTACTGCTCTTCTCTAGGTATGGCATGGATAATCACAGAGCAGGTTTTAGGAATAGGCGATACACTCCCATTAATCTGAAATTCAGTAGTTGATTATCCTTTAACTAAGAAGTTTTTCCAGAAAAAACTCCATTCTTTCTTATTTTTTGTTTGTTTGAGACAGGGTTCTTCTGTGTAGCACTAGCTATCTTATAACTAGCTTTGTAGACCAGGCTTGGCCTTGAACTCATGGAGATACTCCAGCCTCTGCCTCAGGGATCAAAGGCGTGGAGCACCACCACTAGGCTAAACCTCTGATTCCTTTTTGGGGGTGAGTTTCGAGACAAGGCTTCTCTGTGTAGCCCTGGTTGTCCTGGACCTCACTCTGTAGACCAGGCTGGCCTTGAACTCACAGAGATCCACCTACCTCTGCCTTCCAAGTGCTGGGATTAAAGACATTTGACACCACCATCCAGCTAAACCTCTGATTCTTTAACACTAAATTTGACAGTTATTTCCCGGAAAACCCGGAAGGCCTGTCCCTTCTCTGTTCTGAAGTCACCTTCGTGTACAACCTGTGTCAGCACTCACTGATCACATGGAATTCTGCTCCCTTGTATGTGCCTCCCTGAGCCCAGGCTGTAAGCTCTACAAGAATGGGCCAGTAGGACAGCTCTCCGACTTCTTCATCTCCATTTGGTAGCACAGTGCAAGTGAGAGGGTATATTGAGTTAGATCTAAGTATAAAACTGTTGTCAGGGAAGAGCACAGGTGTAGATTTTAGTATGTCCTCAGCTGTTTTTAGTTGTAGTGGTTAAGTTAATGGATTGTTGAGAACACGAAACACACGTGTTCGGTGGTTCATTAGATGTTTTCTTAAAAAAACAACCTTATTTATATGTTAGAAATAGCCTTTTGTCAAGCCTTTCATAATGGAAATCCTTTATCTTGATTGAAAACAGTTTCATAGGTCTGTTTTCTGTAACTAAGATCCTATATCTTCTCAAAACAGATTTCTGCCAATTAACAGTGTGGTGTGGTAAAAATAGTTCAGATATATTAAAACACTGAGTTCCCATCATGAAGTAGTAAACTGAAAGTATCTATGTACCTTCCTTAGTTTTCCAATACCATTGAAAATGAAAAAAAAAAGAATGATGATGTTATTGTTTTTATTGAAAACAAAAGAAAAAGGAAGTTGGGAGTCAGATTATCTGCGTCTGAATCCAGGCTCTGCCATTTCCCAACTGTAGGACCTTGGGCAAGTGCTTGCTTATTTATTTTATTTGCCTCAATTTTCTTATTTGTAAAGTTAGAATGGTGATAATAGTGTCTGTTTACAGAGAGAAATATCAAGAGAGAAAGTTTGCAAAGTTTTTAATTATGTTTAGGAACATTTAGTTAATGTTAGCTGCTAGTTTTTATTGTAATAATACCAGAGTTTTGAGGTATTTCAGGGTAATTAAACACAAGTGGATGGTGGATGATGGAACCAGATAGTAGAGCACTTGCCTACATGAATTCAGTTCTCAATACTGCAAAGCTAATTGAAAACTAGGCATGGTGTCACATGCTTGTATCATAGAACCTGGAAGGTAGAGGCAGGAGGATCAGGAGTTCAGGTCAACATCAGCTGTATAGTAAGTTCTAAAACATCCTGGGCTACTTGAGGCTGCTTTAAAAAATGGAATTACATCAAATGGGAAACCAACACTGAATGTAGTCCAAAACCAGGTATTCTTGATATGTGATGATATCAGAGACTTTGTTTTTATTTATTAATTTTTTTGAGACAAAGTCTCACTATGTAGTTCCAGCTGGCCTGTAATTTACAATCTAGAGCAGGCTAGCCTTTAACTCACAGAGATCTGCTTGTCTCTTGTCTCTTGAATGCTGGAATTAAAGATGTGCACCCCCACGACTGGCCTCATGGTGTTTTGTTGTTGTTTTTTAAAGACTCAGTCTCAATATGTATATATACCTTGATGGCCTGGAACTCACTCTACAGCTCAGGCTAGCCTTGAATTCATAGAATCTGTCTCTGCCTCCTGGGTACTGGAATTAAAGGCATGTGCTACCCT